TGTGGGCTAAAAAACTTAGAGCAACCGTTTGGAGCTGTGGTGTTGGTTGGGTTTTCACTTTGTGGGGTCGATTGGAGATTTTGAGCCCGGGTTCTTGGTGCAAAGTAGGCTGTTATTATTCACAATCCTTCTTGATTACAGGTTTCAACTTCGACAAGCAATCTAGATTAGTATCCCCCAAACAAATTCACAGCAAGGCTCAAAGACTACATTCCTACGTACGTATCAGAATATGGAGCATGATAGCAGCCAATTTGGCACAAAAATGTCTACAACATACAATGATCAAATTTTTCAGAAAATTGCACACAACTTGAAGAATCATTATAATCAATCTACGAACTGATAAAAAAGCTACAAACAAAATGAACCAACCGATTTCAAAACAAAAGGCGAAAAGACTTGTGATTGTGAAACTATATTTTTCAAATCAATACTTCAACAATGAATCCCACGTTACAATTGACATTCAAATCTTTAAATTTTGTTTTAAAAAAATCAAAATAGTTATTTATGAAACCCTAACCCGTACTAATTTTTCATAAAACATAAAAAATTAACGAAAGCACAACAAATCATTACATTAACCTCGAAATCTGTGAGAAATGAAGTTGGACAACCGATAAAGGAGAGAAACGTACTTTATAGAGAAGGAAGAATTACAAGAGAGAACGAGAATGAGAGAAAATTAGGAGGGAACAATTTTGTTGTGTTGAGAACTAAGATGTAATGAGTGTAGTAGCGACTGAAAAATGTCATATTTTAAAAGCAATAATTTTTCCCAAATTCTTGTAAGGAAAAAATTTGTGTTGGTACAAGTTTTTTCCAATATATATATATGTGCTTTAAGTTGGTCATATAATTAAGCATGATCCCTTAGTCTAGCCTATCATATTTATGTTTTACTTATGAAAATTTATTTTGCGACAAATTATACTAAGGTTTAAGCTATGTTTATGGTCAAATTGTATTAGAGTTAGTAGGTACATAAGTCGTTATTCAGTTAACACTTAGTTTATATCCAATATTCGATATCAAGAGATTAAATATTCAAATATTGTAATTATGAGCATTAGTATTCCAATATTGGGCTCTAATCGAAGTTCAAATTATTTCGTAGATAAAGGCCTCAAGAAAAAAAAATTCATTTGGATATATCAGGATCAAGATGAAGTACTTAGAAATTTTTATCTTAGCTTATTTTTTGATAAGCCTTAATCACATTTTCAAGAGACCTCAAACATTATCGAGTCCTAATTACCAGATATTTACGGAGTTTAGTGATTGATTTAATTCCAAATTCTACGACTCCTAGTTGAATTGTAATTCATCTAAATCAAGAAGAAATTTCAACCATTTAGGACTCCATTGTAACCAAAAAACAAGCACATGCTACGACTATAAGTGAAAGAAAAGGGAGAAGAAATATATTCGAGAAGAAGAGATGAAAGGAAAATAAAGGCATTGCATGAAATTTCCAGAATTGGTGCTTTTGAAGTCCACACACATGGTGCTCAAACCCTAAGACATATTTCGAAGGAGGTAGATTCAAACCCCGTTTATTTCAATTCATATTATATTTCAGCATGTATAAATATGATTATATGTGGCTGCTTATGGGGTTTAAATAAGTGCTGGTGGCGTAGTAGTGCACCAGAAATGTGAACTTGTTGACTTAGTAGTATACCAAATGTTGGTATGTCGCATGATCATCAATATACTTATTAAAAGTTTGAAAGATATGAATATATGCTTAAAGTATAATATGTTTTGGATTTAACGTGTGTATGAGTCTATTGAGTGTTTCTATGAAACACCCAACCCCTCTAACAATTTCGGATTAAGGCAATCAATGGCAGCATGGAGGAGAGTGGTGGTGCTTTGACGTGAACTCCAAAAGACATCATTTGAGTCATGTTTTGTTCGAATAATTATTTAAATTTGAAACGTTTTAAGTTAGTATTTCTTGAAATCTTGAAGATTGAATTGTTGATGAAATTGTTTCATGGTTGATAGAATATGTTTATTGTGGTTAATTTAGTTCATTGAGTTGCAACACTAGGGTTTAAATATTTTCAGTTTCTACCCCTAAGTTTAAAAACTCACCAAGACCAAAATGCTTGAAATTTTGAGGTGATTCCAGTTGGAGAAGATAGCCATATGAGTTATCTATCTCTCGGATGTGGAATAATGAATTTTGGTTGAGTAAAACTCAAGTTATGCACGTTTTCCTAGGGCTGCCAA